GGGCTCTCATTTACCTCAGTTCTCTCACACCCCAGCTCTGGGGCTTGGTAGCTGTGGTCTGCCTCCCGATTGCTGACCTATATCTCCTCCTGGTTTTGCACAGTGGGGCAGGTGCCTGCGTCGCTGGGTGCTGGGGTCTCAATTGAGCACCCCATCAGAGGAGATGGGGTAGCCAAGATGGCACAGATCGTCTCCTCCATTATTTGCTGAGGCTCTGTCCCGAAGACAAACTGGCCCACCGTACAGACTGCAATGAAGTGACTGCTGGACACACATGCTTGTGCAGGCAAGGCGGGATATAAATAGAAATTAATAAAGAATAAATAATGTATTTAGTATTTGGCCAGCTGAAAATTCGGTTCCATTGACTCCATTTAGGGTTGCCAGGTCTGGGCTGGAAAATACCTGGATACTTTGGGAGTGGATCTGGGAGAGGGTGGGGTTTGGGGAGGGGAGGGGCCTCAGCATGGTACAGTGCCATAGAGTCCACCCTTCGAAGCAGTCATTTTATCCAGGAGAGCTGACAGCTGGAGATCAATTGTAAAAGTGGGGGATCTCCGGGCCCCACCTGGAGGCAGGGAACCCTACCTCCATCATATGGGAGGGCGCAGGGCAATGCAACCCCTGGCAGAAACCAAGCACTTTGTTGTGTGTGCTATCCTCCAGAACATGGCCATCTGGCAACAGTTGCTGGATCATAAGAACATAAGAGACGCCAATGTTGGAACAGGCCAAAGGCCCATCCAGTCTAACACTCTGTCACACAGTGGCCAAAAATACCAGGTGCCATCAGGAGGTCCACCAGTGGGGCCAGGACATCAGAAGCCCTCCCACTGTTGACCCCCCCCCCCCCAAGCACCAAGAAGACAGAGCATCACTTGCCCCAGAGTCCCTAGCTATACCTTGTGGCTAATAGCCACTGATGGACCTCTGCTCCGTATACTTATCAAAATCCCTTTTGAAGCCATGAATGCTTTTAGCCGCCACCACTTCCTGTGGCAGTGAATTCCATGTGTTAATCACTCATTGGGTGAAGAAGTACTTCCTTTTATCTTTTCTAACCTGACCGCTCCAGAGGGTGGCGTCTGAGGGTCCCTGGGCTGGGGAATGGGCCAACAGATGCTCAGAGGGGGCAGTGGCAAGGCACTGAATAGAAGCAACTATGAGCAGGGGTCATTTCCTGCAGGAGTGCACAGGAGCAAAGCTCCGGCAGTAAAGAGCCCAGGGGGCGGGCACATGCAACAAGCCCCACCCCCTGCTCCCAGGAACACTCAGTCACAACAAGAAGCAGCCAGGTAAGTTGCAGAGCTCCCCCCGGCCCCCCAGTCCAAAACTGTCCAGTGGTACCTTTAAGAAAAAGTTTTATTCAGGTACCAGCTCTCCCTCCTCGAATCGCCCGTGCCCCCCCCCCCCAATAGCGAGCAATCCAAAACAGCCCAGTGGAGCCTGAGCGGTGGGTGTTGCCTTCGGACACACTTCCGGTGATGTCAGGGGGTGTGTCATATGCAAATAAGTTATGCTAATGAGTTATGCTAATGAGCTCCTGCCCCTCTTTTTCTACGAAATGACCCCTGACTATGAGAATACAAATGGCTCATGAGATATCCTGTGTAGAGAAGGAACCTGAAAAACCAGAATGCTTAGTGCATCAAAATCAGAGAGCTCGGAGATTAGGGGTTAATGCCTCACTGAAAAGCCTTTTGAGGGACCGGCTGCTGCCTGCTTGCGCTCCGTTCTCTCTGATTGGTCAGCACCAGCTGAGGAAAGTTTTATAAAATCTTATGAGTCTTCTCAGAGTCAGTCAGTCGTCATTTGGATTATGACTTGGCAGTTGCCAGTCAGGACTAATTTGTGTGTGTCAGTCTGAGGGAAACAGACAAGTCTGAGGGATACAAAGAAGACTACGCTGGGGATTATTAGGAAAGGAATTAAAAAACAAATCCGCCAGTATCATAATGCCCCTGTATAAATCAGTGGTGCGACCCCATTTGGAATACTGTGTGCAATTCTGGTCACCATACCTCAGAAAGGATATTATAGTGTTGGGGGGAAAGTCCAGAAAAGGGCAACTAGAATGATAAAAGTTTCGGAACACTTGGGGTTCTGGTCACCACACCTTAAAAAGGATATTATAGTTGGAACACTTTCCCTATGAGGAAAGGTTAAAGCACTTAGGGCTCTTCAGCTTGGAGAAACGACGGCTGAGGGGCGACGTGATAGAGGTTTACAAGATTATGCATGGGATAGAGCAGGTAGAGAAAGAATTCACGCTTTAAGTATATTCTGTCGCCTGTTCAAGATATTTTAATTTTCTTATAAAGAACTCAAGTTTAAAGAACTCACCACCCCATGCCCTGTTCCTGCCATAACTGTGCCCATTCAATAAAACCAACCTGTTGTTTCAACTTTACTTCATGTCAAGTGCCATTTCCAAAGTCATTTTATAAGAGGGCTCTTGCTGACTTACAGTAAAAATCTCTTGTCCAAAAAGGGCAAATAACTTCTTAAACACTCAGTACAGTTCTGGTCACCACACCTCAAAAAGGATATTATAGTATTGGAAGAAGTGCAGAAAAGGGCAACTAGGTTCTTGTATTGTGAGAATTGGGGAGAGGCCATGGCTCAGTGGAAGAGCCTCTGCTTTGCATGCAGAAGTTGCCAGGTTCAAGAACATAAGGAACATAAGAGATGCCAATGTTGGATCAGGCCAAAGGCCCATCCAGTCCAACACTCTATATCACACAGTGGTATACCCTGCTCTTGGCCCTCCAGAGGAACTGGTTGGCCACTGTGTGAGACAGGATGCTGGACTAGATGGACCGCTGGTGTGATCCAGCAGGGCTCTTCTGATGTTCTTAGGAAGGCCTTGGCCTCCCTGCCCTGTTGTTGGCCCTCCAGAGGAACTGGTTGGCCACTGTGTGAGACAGGATGCTGGACTAGATGGACCGCTGGTGTGATCCAGCAGGGCTCTTCTGATGTTCTTATGAAGGCCTTGGCCTCCCTGCCCTGTTGTTGGCCCTCCAGAGGAACTGGTTGGCCACTGTGCTAGACAGGATGCTGGACTAGATGTACCACTGGTCTGATCCAGCAGGGCTCTTCTGATGTTCTTCTCAGAGGAGGGCCTCAATCTCTATGCCCTGCTCTTGGCCCTCCAGAGGAACTGGTTGGCCACTTATAAGAACATAAGAACATAAGAGACGCCAATGTTGGATCAGGCCAAAGGCCCATCCAGTCCAACACTCTGTGTCACACAGTGGCCAGAAATACCAGTGCCATCAGGAGGTCCAGCAGTGGGGCCAGGACATTAGAAGCCCTCCCACTGTTGACCCCCCCCAAGGACAGGATGCTGGACTAGATGGACTATTGGCCTGATCCAGCAGGGCTCTTCTGATGTTCTTATGAAGGCCTTGGCCTCTCTGTCCTGTCGTTGGCCCTCCAGAGGAACTGGTTGGCCACTGTGTGAGACAGGATGCTGGACTAGATGGACTATTGGCCTGATCCAGCAGGGCTCTTCTGATGTTCTTATGAAGGCCTTGGCCTCTCTGTCCTGTCGTTGGCCCTCCAGAGGAACTGGTTGGCCACTGTGTGAGACAGGATGCTGGACTAGATGGACTATTGGCCTGATCCAGCAGGGCTCTTCTGATGTTCTTATGAAGGCCTTGGCCTCTCTGTCCTGTCGTTGGCCCTCCAGAGGAACTGGTTGGCCACTGTGTGAGACAGGATGCTGGACTAGATGGACTATTGGCCTGATCCAGCAGGGCTCTTCTGATGTTCTTATGAAGGCCTTGGCCTCTCTGTCCTGTCGTTGGCCCTCCAGAGGAACTGGTTGGCCACTGTGTGAGACAGGATGCTGGACTAGATGGACTATTGGCCTGATCCAGCAGGGCTCTTCTGATGTTCTTATGAAGGCCTTGGCCTCTCTGTCCTGTCGTTGGCCCTCCAGAGGAACTGGTTGGCCACTGTGTGAGACAGGATGCTGGACTAGATGGACTATTGGCCTGATCCAGCAGGGCTCTTCTGATGTTCTTATGAAGGCCTTGGCCTCTCTGTCCTGTCGTTGGCCCTCCAGAGGAACTGGTTGGCCACTGTGTGAGACAGGATGCTGGACTAGATGGACTATTGGCCTGATCCAGCAGGGCTCTTCTGATGTTCTTATGAAGGCCTTGGCCTCTCTGTCCTGTCGTTGGCCCTCCAGAGGAACTGGTTGGCCACTGTGTGAGACAGGATGCTGGACTAGATGGACTATTGGCCTGATCCAGCAGGGCTCTTCTGATGTTCTTATGAAGGCCTTGGCCTCTCTGTCCTGTCGTTGGCCCTCCAGAGGAACTGGTTGGCCACTGTGTGAGACAGGATGCTGGACTAGATGGACTATTGGCCTGATCCAGCAGGGCTCTTCTGATGTTCTTATGAAGGCCTTGGCCTCTCTGTCCTGTCGTTGGCCCTCCAGAGGAACTGGTTGGCCACTGTGTGAGACAGGATGCTGGACTAGATGGACTATTGGCCTGATCCAGCAGGGCTCTTCTGATGTTCTTATGAAGGCCTTGGCCTCTCTGTCCTGTCGTTGGCCCTCCAGAGGAACTGGTTGGCCACTGTGTGAGACAGGATGCTGGACTAGATGGACTATTGGCCTGATCCAGCAGGGCTCTTCTGATGTTCTTATGCTCTGTAATGTGTCTAGTGCCAGTGATAAAATCAGCAGGAAAGAATTCCCTTAGCATCCCTAACGTTCACACAGATGTAAGTCACACTATGCAAAATGGGGCTAGCATGATTCTGCTCACAGAATTGTTGTTTACTCAGTAAAAATCTGCTGCAAAGAATTAATTGAAAAAACAAAAAGATCAGGGAGTTTAGTCATTAAAGTGATGTGTCATTCCTTGTTTAAAAAAAACCTTTAAAGCTAGAAAATTAAAGCGGATTAATTCAAATCTTGTGGGCAAAAAGGAGTCTCTAAATCAAAAAAGAATGCCATGAAGTCAGTATAAAAGCTCCTATACCTCTCCAGTTTTTCACCTTCATCTCTCTCACTCTCTTGCTTTCGACCTCTGCGAAGCAGGTAAGCTTGGCTAATGCCAAATTGAATGGTATAGGTTAAAATAAGACTGTATAGACAGACTTTGTATGCCAGACCTAATACTTTTTATTAATGTTCTTTGCCAAAAAAATCTCTCTATGGAATTAATCCACATAGAGCGTCAGCTATTCTCATCATGGGACTTCAATTCCAAATGTTGTATAATAAGGAATGACAACTAATGCTCCCTCTAAGCTGTGGAGTTTTGTGAGCAAAAATTCTACCTTGAGAGCTACTGGCATTAAAGTTGTGAGCGAGCGATTTGGTACTGAGTAACTTAGGTTGCTCTGGAGCTATCCTTCCTGAGCTAAGACAAAAATCTGTGAGCTGGAGGCTAAAAAACTGTGAGCTAGCTCACACTCACTCAGCTTAGAGGGAACACTGATGAGAACTGAACCAATTCAGGTGTGCAATGTACACCGGTCTCAAAGGCAGCATTGTGATGAGAAATCCACATGAATATGGAATTTCTGAAGTCTTTCCAGTGAAGAGTTCTTATACAACACTGGGAATTGCAGTTCCTAGAGAAGAACTGGTGATCTACCTCAATTCCTTTCACCCTCTTGAAACTTAACAATTATCTTAATAATTTTGAGGTTAACCTGGTAGAAAGGAGTGTACTTTTATAGCATAGCTTTTCATGGAGTTTACGCAAAAATGGTTCAGGTCAATGACATTATTTGTGTCCCTTTCTTTTTCCTTCCATCTCCTTCACTCTGGTGTGGCTTACAATAGGCCACTCTGTGTGACTTTCTGTCACCTTTCACAATTCACTGTCAGAGGATGTAGTTATGATCACAGGCATATACAGCTGTAACAAGGCATGAGGAGGAAAGGTCTATCAGTGGCTAGCAGCCATGATAACCGAAGGGAACCTCTGAATTCAGAGGAAGTAAACCTCTGAATAACAGTGCAGGGAAGCAAGATTAGGAGAAGTCCTTAGCCTCTTTTGGCCTTTTGTTGACTCTCCAGAGTACGTGGTTGAAGAAGATATTCTACTTGATGGACCACTGGTCTGATCCATCAGGACTGTTCTTACATTTTTCTTATGGTAGCTAGACGAGATACTACCAGCTTAGTATTCTCGACTAGGAGGCCTAGTAGGTGTTGTTCTTCATATTAATCTTGTATAGAACTAGTCCCTTGAAAGGTCATGAATTTCCATTTTTCCCCCCTTAGTTGGATTCCACTACTTCTCCTATGTACATTCTGTGTTCTATTTTTTGGGAATAATTAATAGACATTATTGTTATTGTCAAGGGTCATTTCGAGGGGGAACGAGCAGGAACGACGTTCCAGAAGTAACAAGTCCAGGAGTAGGGAACCCAGGCATGCTTGCATGCCTGCCCTTTGCGTCCCCAGCCAGCCTGCCGTGTCGGGTTGGCTAGGGAAGGGCAGGAAGGCAGACATGCCCCCCTTTTCCCCTGAGCCTCCACTTTTGCAGAGAAACTCAGGGAAGTGGGGGGGATTTAAATGCCTTTAAAAGAAAGACAATTTAAACATGCCTGCCCTTTGTCAGGGGATGTGGCATATGCAAATAAGCTATGCTAATGAGTTATGCAAATGAGCTCCTGCACCTCTTTTTCTACAAAATGACCCCTACGGATGTGCTCTCATACCGAGTCTCACGGTACTTCTTGTGCATATTATTTTCTACTTACCTGTATTCTTGCAGACTCATCATCCACCACTCAGGCATGGCTTAGTATGGACCAGAGGCAACCTCAGGGGAAAGCCTTGGCCTATGTGACTAATTGTTGGCCCTCCAGAGTAACTCAGTGGTAGCTAATAATCTTAATCACAATTCACAATATGAGAGATCTCAAAAATATCAAATATCATCTCCATAGAATCTCAAAAGATAATGTACAACCTTATAATTAGTATTAGTCCTCCTCTGTTAAATGCAAGTTTCAAAAAGGAGGACTCCTTAAAGTCTCTTTATAACATGCACTCTGTCTTCCTCCAACAGAGTTCCAGATATCCTTCTGTTTCAGAATCTTCCTCAGGGAGTTCAACAATAATTTTCAGCACAAGGTTGCCAAATACCGAAGTTTTAACCCAAAGTTCTCTTTCAATGAACGCTGCAAAAAAAAAAAAAATTCAATGGGCTACAAGCCTCCTCTAAAGTAAAAAGGGACTTGGGCATGTTCAGTCTGGAGAAGGGATGGAGCATTGTTCTGACCCAGCATGGCTCTTCTTATGCTGTTCTTATGGAACCTAGAGGAGATTCTACCAGCTAGAATTCTAGTCTGGCTGGTACGACATGTGGCCTAATATGTCTTGTTTAATGTGCTAATCTTGCATGCAACTAGTTCCTTGAAAGGTCATGAATTGGCCATGGGTGCCTTTCATTGGATTCCATTCCTTCTCCTGTATACACTAAGAACAACTATGGATACTGGTTTAGCCGCACCGGACCATCATACAGCAATCACCATCTGCACTTAACTGCACTTTGTATGTGTATTGTTTGCTATGTGAATTTTATAGTATTGCACTTATGCGTCTCTGTTTTATTGTATTTTAACTTGCCGTACGCCACCTTGGACCTGCCTGTGCGGGAAAGGCGGGTTATAAATTGAAATCAAAATAATAAATAACGAAAAATAAATACATCCTGTGTTCTGTCAATGGATGTCGGTTGGTGGATTAATTCTGTGACTTTTTTTTAATAGACGTGATTCACACTGACTTTCACTGTACTAGTTTGGCATAATATTATTTTCTACTTTCTTGTATTTTTGCAGACTCACCCTCTACCACTCAAACATGGCTTACTGTGGACCATCCTTTGCAGTTCCCTCCTATGCCTCCGCTCCAGCCGTTGGCTTCGGATCAGCAGGTCTCGGCTATGGCGGCCTCCATTCCGGCACATTAATCGGAGCCGGGTCACCATCTTTTGCAGTTCCCTCCTGTGCCTCCACTCCAGCCATTGGCTTCGGATCAGCAGGTCTTGGCTATGGTGGCCACCACTCTGGCACATTAATCGGAGCCGGGTCACCATCCTTTGCAGTACCCTCCGTGGCCTCTGCTCCCGTTGTTGGCTTTGGATCAGCAAGTCTTGGCCATAACATTGGGGTACCCTCCGCTAGCCTGGGCATCCTCTCAGGGGTCAGTCCTTCCGCCATCAACCAGATCCCACCTGCAGAAGTCGTGGTCCAGCCACCACCTGTCGTCATGACCCTCCCCGGACCCATCCTCTCTGCTACCGGGGAACCCGTTTCTGTGGGAGGCAACACTCCATGTGCTGTTAGTTACGGTGGATCCAGCAGTGGGCTTTTGGGAGGCAGTGCTCTTTATGGTGGATTCAGCAGAGGGCTCACTGGAGGTAGTTTTGGGGCTCTTGGAGGCCATTTGGGGAGCTATGGGGGCCGCAGAGGCAGTCTCATCCTGGGGCGCCGAGGCAGTACCTGCCTGGCCCCTCACTAAATTCTCAAGGACTGTGTCAATCAAATTCGGAGCAACCCCCTGATGTAATAGCCTGGACTGCACAATGATCGGTTGAACACCCTCCACGTGCGGAGTGCTCTCCAGCTTGGGAGATCTCAGTGTCTCTTCGTCTCGGGGCCAGACATCGTTTCCTGTCTCTTTGTCTATGGAAGATGTCCCATTCTGTAAATGCTTTGTCCCGTTTAAAACCTGCCTCATTGTAAAAATTGTTCACATGAATAATTTCTTCTGTTTCCTAATAAAGCTTACTCTGCATCATGATATTGAGAGTCTGTCCTTGATTCAACCTAATAATGTATCGGAAAAGGAACAGTCCAGTCTGGGGTTCTGTTTCCAAGAGTTGTCCACTGGATTATTAGAAAGGGAACTGAAAATAAATCAGCCAGTATCATAATGCCCCTGTATAAATCGATGGTGTGACCTCATTTGGAGGACGGTGTACAGTTCTGGTCACCACACCTCAAAAAGGATATTATAGCATTGGGAAAAGTGCAGAAAAGGGCAACTAGAACGATAAAAGGGTTAGAACACTTTCGCTATGAAGAGAGGTTCAAGCGCTTGGGGCTATTTAGCTTGAAAAACAACACCTGAGGGGTGACATGATTTAGGTTTATAAGATTATGCATGGGATAGAGCAGGTAGAGAAAGAAGTACTTTTCTCCCTTTCTCACAATACAAGAACTCACGGGCACTCCATGAAACTGCTGAGCAGTCGGGTTAGAATGGATAAAAGAAAGTACATCTTCACCCAAAGAGTGATTAACACGTGGAATTCACGGCCATAGGACATGGTGGCGGCTACAAGCATGGACGGCTTCAAGAGGGAATTTGATAAACATATGGAGCAGAGGTCCATCAGTGACTATTAGCCACAAGGTATGGATAGGAACTCTCGCTCTGGGGCAAGTGATGCACTGTATCCTTGGTGTTGGAGGGGAGGCAACAGTGGGAGAGCTTCTAGTGTCCTGGCCCCACAGCTGGACTTCCTGATGGCAATACTGTGTGACACAGCATTGGACTGGATGGGCCATTGGCCTGATCCAACATTGGCTTCTCTTATGTTCTTAACAAAAGGGGTCTTGGCTGGAGGAGGGGGTGGGATCCTTAAAATACTTTACCTTAGATAACTTCACAAGTCCCAATGCAGTAAGATCCTTGAAGGAAGCTGCTGGTGCAACATGAAGACCTACAGTGGAAGAAAGAAATTATGAGACAGCCTAAGTTGGAAGCAATTAGATGCATTCATTGAAAAATGGGAAAGGAATAGGGAAAGCCTGAAGAGGGAATAGGACCACAAGCATTGATGCTTTCTAGGCCACCTGATCTTATAGTGGATATTGCAGCTATTGCACCAATGGGAAACCTTTTCATTTGAATGAGGACAACCAATAACAAGCCCTGTATTATAAATGCCCCACCAAATGTTACCAAAAGCAGTCAGTCTCCACTTAAATGTGTGGAATTAGCTAAAGGAGACAGAGCAGGAAGTGGGGAACTGGGATTCTCGACCTATGTATACCATGATTTTTCCCTTTAGAGAACTCTCAAAACAACCAGGCAGATGGGCAACTGGAAAGGTTTTTGTTCAAAAGAAAATTAAAATAAACAGAAATGCATACATACACTGAATCACACACAAGAACTAACTAAGAAAACAGGGAGGAAGGGGGAGAGATTTTTAAGGAAGGGCTAACTACTGATCTTAAAGAGGTCCATGGAATCAGCAAGTTGAAGAGCAAAACACCTAGTATTTTGGGAAGTGAGAGAAAAGGCCCACAACATGGAGGTGTATGCAGAGGATCTGCAGCACAAACACATACTGCTGGGGCAGCAGTGTGGTCCAGTTTTAGGGCAAAATGTGCCATCAGGTGGGGATGATGCATATGCTAGGAAACAATGGCTAAATGGCTTAACTGGAGGTAGAGAAAAAAGGAATGAAGGGTGTGATGGTTCCAAAAGTACCGGATGGAAGGGAAATTGGGAAAGGTGAACAGATTTAAGTATTGCTTAATTGCTCCTTAACCAAGGAGTAATAGTTGAGGGGAAATGAGGCTGCGGTGATGATGGGATTATGCTGAGTGAATCAATAAGTCCTGGGTGACCCGTTGTTCTAAAGTCATGCATCTCTCCAGGGCAAGGAGGGAGTTGTAGCCAGCCAGCCATTCCTGTCTCACATTTTTTAATTGTTTTCTCAGGCTAATGCCTGGCTGGCCTCCATCTTTGTCCATTTTGGCCCAAGCAGTGCCCTGCACTAAGGTATTGGGGAGATGTATGCCTCTATTAAGATATAAACTGCCACTCTACGAGAGGAGGAGTCTGACTTCTAACACACCCACTCTGTGAATATCTTCACGTTCACCAGAGGAAGGAATAGCAGATAACATGGGTCCCAGAGCCGCTATGTTGAAGAACCCTGGCCTATTTATTTATTAACAGGGGTCATTTCCTGCAGAAGCACACAGGAACGGAGCTCCGGCAGTAAAGAGCCCAGGGGGCGGGCACATGCAACAAGCCCCACCCCCTGCTCCCAGCAGCCCTCAGTCAGAGCAAGAAGCAGCCAGGGAAGCTGCAGAGCTCCCCCCACCCCCCGGTCCAAAACAGTCCAGTGGCACCTTTAAGACCGAGTTTTGTTCAGGTACAAGCTCTCCCTCCTCTACGAGGACAGATCTGCGCATCCCCCCCCCCCTCCAATAGCTAGCAATCCAAAACAGTCCAGTGGCACCTGAGCGGTGGGTGTTGCCTTCTGACACACTTCCGGTGATGTCAGGGTATGTGGCATACGCAAATAAGTTATGCTAATGAGTTGTGCTAATGAGCTCCTGCACCTCTTTTTCTACGAAATGCCCCGTTTATTAAGCTATTTATTTATTTAAAAACTTTTTTGCTGACTTTCCAACCATTCAGGGTACCCAAGGCAATGAATATATTTTTTTACAAAATTAAAACTGTCACAACTCAGGTGGAGTGTCACCTGGATTTAGGTTCCCTTGAGAAGGCCCAGAGTACCCTCCCAAGACCTTCAGACCTCCCTTTAGGCCGAATAACAGGCATGAGGACCAGGCAGAGTAAAACAAGGAAAAGATTTATTTTATAGGAGGTCAAACAACAAGGTGCAGAATAATAACAGTAAGTTGGTGAAAAGAAAAGAAATCAAATGCCCTAATGCGTCTAAATTTACTTTCGCTAGCTCACTATCTCAAGTGGCTCACTATCTCAAGTGGCCCGGTGGCGCAGGCATTAAAACGCCTGCTGTTAACATCTGGATGAACAGCCGGAAGGCTGTTCGATTCCCAACCACGGCCGGGTTGAGCCCCCGGCCCTTGTCCCAGCTCCCGCCAACCCAGTGGCTCTGTTAACATCAGAGGAATGGGTACCTGCCTTAGATGGCAGGGGGCACCCCCTCCCTTCCCAGCCTTGTGCTGGTGATCGGCAGTAAAGAAAAGTGAAGGAGAAGATCGAGTCGGCGGCAGCAAGCGAGGAAAATAAATGGTGGCGGCAGAGAAACAGCGAAAGGCGACCAGAACGGCGGTGACTGGCTCGAGCAGTGGTGAAGGCGGAGCCGAGGGCGGAGTTGGTCGTAGAGTTGGAGCGACGTCAGAACGCGGGACGCAGCGCGGCAGGAGCCGCTGGACATTGCCGAGGCTGCGCCCGAGGAGAGATACGCCGTTCCAAAAAGAATAACAGCCAGCTCATCCAGCCGATAGCAGCCGGGTCGCAGGACAACATCAACAGCAACAACTCACACCAAGAAAAAGCTGCCGAAGGAACACCGTGCCGTATTAGGGGTGCTGGTAGGTTTCCCCCCCCCACACCATATGTGGCCCTAGATAGGTATTAGCTACTATTCAGTAGCACATTGTAAACCGCCCTGAGACCCGCTAGGGGTTAAGGGCGGTATATATAAATCACCTGTAAATAAATAAAATAAATAAATACACTACTCACCCTTCCCTAGGGTTGCCAAATGGGGCCGGGGGGCGGGGAATCCCCTGCTTTGATGGCCCGATTTTTGACACGGATGTGACGTCGCATGCTGGGGGCGGGCCACAGCCTTTTGAGGGGAAAACATAGAATTTTCCCCACAAATGGCCGTGGCCCCGCCCCCAGCGTGCAATGTCACATCTGGGTGATGAGCACGCGCACGCCGCGGACGCCAGCCGGGAGCCTCCCGCTCCCGGCCGAAAACAATTTGGCAACCCTACCCTTCCCCCAGGATGAGGGTTTTTTCCGTTGCAGCAGCCTTTCTTCTGGCTCTGCCCTCTGGAAGAAAGAACAACTCTTCCTACTGCTCCAGAATTTTATTCCCAGCCCTCCTCTTTCTTATTGGTCCATTTTGGCTCCAAAACCTCCCAGGGGCTTCTGGGAGTTGTAGGCCCAGCCTCACCTACTGCTAGCCAGGCTCTATGGGCCTAGTAGGACTCTGGTAGCACAGCCCAGATCATGACAAAAACATTTGAACAATTTACAACAATATATACTTTATAAAATCATTCAATAGAAAAGCACGGACACCAGAACCAAGAAGGAGAGCCAGTGACCATCATGGAGATCTCAGTCTAGAGGAGAAGAAAGAGAAAGAGAAAGAGAAAGAGAAAGAGAAACAGAAGAAGAAGAAGAAGAAGAAGAAGAAGAAGAAGAAGAAGAAGAAAGATTGGATTTATACCCCGCCCTTCACTACCCAAATTTATTTATTTATTTATTTATTTATTTCATTTATACCTCGCCCACCCCACACACGGGCTCAGGGTGGCTTAAGTAAAGGTAAAGGTTCCCTTGCTCAAAAGCCAGTCAAGTCCGACTCTAGGGTTGCGGTGCTCATCTCCGTTTCAAAGCCGAAGAGCCAGCGCTGTCCGAAGACGTTTCCGTGGTCATGTGGCCGGCATGACTAAACACCAAGGTGCACGGAACGCTGTTACCTTCCCACTGAAGTGGTACCTATTTATCTACTTGCAATTTCCTGCTTTCGAACTGCTAGGTAGGCGGCTTACACAGGCACAAAAGTGCGATAAAAATACAACAAGTTAAAACAATTAAGGCACAAGTGCAGTAAAAGTCAACAGTTAAAACAGTTTAGGCAAAAATGCACATCTCACAGGACACATAATGACTACAATACTTACTCCCTATTGCATATCCCAATGGGGTCAAAAAAGTGGGGGGAATGCCATGGGCCATGATATTTCGGCTGGCCAGTCAGCCCGATGCAGCGGAATTGCTCTGCAGTCGCACGGTGGTGGTAGTGGCGGCGG